CGAAAGTTGATACGAAAATCGATTCGAAAGATACACAAACCAATTTCTTTTAATATATGGACAAATTGTCACTAAAAAGCCGAAGCAAAAGGTCACCTTTCGAAATCTATATATATCGAGAAGATTCCAAGAAAGTGGACTCTTAGTCTTATGGGTAAAATAGGACATGATAAGTATAGTCGTATAATAGGACCAATACACGTAAGGGTTTGGTCTTGTGACCAAATCAACATGAAAAACTGGTCGGTCGATCCACGGCACAATAACCTCGATGCTCGTCACAATATTGGATTGATTAATAAAAGCTAACTAATCCTAATTAAAAATTAGTATATCCACTCGACAACTTGTCTAATTATTGGATTGTTTTCTAATTATTTTAATAATATATATGTTGCAATTTTGAATATACATTTACCTATATAAACAACTAAATTATACTAATGATTTTGTGTAGAGACAATTTTACAGCAACATTTGTTTGGTTATATATATCACTTATAAGTGACGATGCCATGTAAAACGTACACTAACCAAAATGATAATAAGCGAAGTATTTGATCACTTTTTATATTTAGCAAGGGCTAAGATCTTCTGTAGTTTTCATTTTCTCTTTCTGAGTAACTGATCGTATATAAAATATTCTTTCCATTTTAAAATATAAATTGTTTTAGAAATTTTTTATGTTTCAAAATATAAGTTGTTTTGAAAATTTTATGTATTTTTTAATTTTATTGATTATAGTATGATCAATAGTTTTTTGCAGTTTTATTTTATTGGTTAAATTATTTTTATTATATATATAAAATGATATTTTTTAGAAAAAATAGTTTTTTAATATTCACATTTTTAACCAAAACAACTTACATTTTGAAACGGAGAGAATATTAACTTTCGATATTTTCTTTATACATTTTTTTCTGTATACAAGTTTCTTTTTGTTTTTTTGGGTCAACACAGACATAAAATAATGTCTCCTCCATATTTGAATTTCGAAGTTTAGGAGATAGTATCATAGTTTTAGCGAACGTCCGCATCAATATGTACAGTTTATAACAATTATTTACGAAGACTATCATTGTCGTGTTTTTATACGTCGAGTGATATGAAAGACAACAAAATGTGACCTTATTCTTTTGAAACTGTTCATATAAATCCAAATTCAGTTTTGAAATTATTATGCTTAATTATTGCTTTTGTCATTTTCACTATTCATCATACCATAGCCGTACGAACAAGTAAATAATTTACTCACCAATCAATAGGCATC